GTTCATGTTGCTGCGGTCTGCAGTCTGACCGCTAGATGTCGCTGAAAATTACACACTGTAGCTTTAAGATAAACAGTTACATAATATAAGCAATGTCCACATTTCTTTTTGACAATTAGTGAATTTGACACCAACCATGAAAACATGAGAAAGACCAGTTATATTTTTTTTTATTAATTTATAAATTGCCAATTGGCATAGAAAACAGTGAGTTTCTTTTTTTTATTTTTTCCTTATTTCTCTACCACATTAAATATGAAAAAATAGATAAAAAGCATGTGAAATATTTTTTTTCCCTAAACTTTATTTAAGTTATTTTTCACTTTGTTTGTAGTCTAGTCTAACTTTTGATTTTTGTTGGTGACTCTGAATCTTTGATGATTTTTTACTTGTCGGGTGTAACCATTTATCATTTTATTGCTTTTTTTTTTGTCACTAACTCATCTGCATTTCCCCACTATAGGTAGGAAGATGCTGAAGTGGTATGATTTTATTTACATAATTAATATTGTATGAACTATTTAAACTGCATATGAATTTATTACAATTGAAAATCAAAACAAGTGAATACTTATTCAATTTAAAGAAGTCTGTAAATATACTAAAGAAAGCAATAAGGAACAGATGTTATCTGTGTGCTCTGTTATATGTAAGAAGGTAAGTGAAACACATTTCTATCTGTTTTGGAAACAGTGTGGTCTGGATGGTGGATATATCATTGATTCTAGGACCCAAGACAGCAAAGTGTTGTACATGACATAGGCTGTTGGATAAATACATGAGAAAACCTAAGATCGTGGCCACTGATATTCATCAGAGCACGGGTCACGCTGGCCTGAGAGGTAGATAATCCTCTGCAAGTTATGCTTATATCAATGATTTTGTTAAACATGACTGGCCTAAATCCTGTCAATTTTAAAATAGTACACTAAGAAACTTGCTCTTAAAAAAAGAGCCAAAAAATTCTGTTAAAAATCTGTCTTAACATCAGTAATGAATGTATAATTTCACACTTAAATTAGTTAATATAGAGAGAATGAAAAATTGTTGTATTCTTTTGCAGTTGGGAGTAAAAAATTATACATTGATGTCAAACATCAACATAATCTTGCTGTGTGCAATGTCCGCCCTAAACCCCATGTAGAGCACTATACACAATTATGTAATTTTATTAGTGTCCAAATGCAGGGCCGGTTCTAGCCCTTTGGTTGCCCTAGGCGAGATTGAGTTTTGCGGCCTCCCTCGCAAACGGCGGTAGAAATTCTTCCCCAACGCACCAGTCCTTGCTTGCTACTTCGTAGGGATCAAGTCCGTTTATGAAGCCCATCTTTTGCAGATAACGGTCCCTGGCTTCCCTCTGCAGTGTGTCTCGGTATATTCCGCATCCTTTCCTCGCTTTTAACATCACTGTTT